ACTCCGACTTCATCTTCTGTACCTATAATGTAACAGGTTACATGTACTTTCTTTGATATATATTCCAAATCCTATTATGACATGTTTGTTTTTTTCAGTTTCTACAGAAGCGGAAGTGTCTCTTAGAGATTGGGTATTAGATTCAGGGGCCAATCATCATGTCTCTCACAATAAGGACCTTTATGTTGAGTATAGGGCATTAGGATAAACCGTATGTTGCCTTACCTAACGGCTATACCATTCATATAGAAGGCATACGATTCTTTCAACTTACTGATGCGATCTATCTACATAATGTTCTTTGCATCCATGAATTTAAATTCAATTTGATCAGTGTTAGTGTTTTAATTAAAAATTTAAATTCTAAAGTAAGTTTTACTTCTAATCAATGGTTTATTCAGAAACTTATAGGGGAATTGATGATTGTTCAAGATAGTCAAATTGGCAACTTATATGTCATAGATTTCAATAAAGATAATTAGTCTATTTGTTTAAAAGGTACCTCTACCACTTGTTTCTTTCTACCATTTTGTTATAGTTTTACCATTGATTCTACAACTTGGCATAATATATTGGGTCATCCGTCAAGTTCTAAAATAGATGTTCTTTCTGAAATGTTATGTTTCAAACCTTTAAAGAATGAAAAACATAATACACATGTTTGTCATATATGTCATCTTGCGAAGCAGAAACACTTACCTTTTAAATCAAGAAATAACATTTGTTCCACAGCTTTTGAACTTGTTCACTGATACATGGGGTCCATTCTATGTTTCAACTAATGATGGTTATCATTATTTCTTAATAATAGTAGATGATTCTACTAAAGTAGCTCTGATATAATCATCTATTATTGTAGTAGATGATTATAGCAGAGCTACTTAGATTTACTTAATAAAAAATAAATCAGATGTGTTACATTTTTTCCTGGGTTCATTGCTACATTTGAGAATCAATATAAGATGAAAGTTCAAGCTGTTAGATCTGATAATGCACATAAATTGAAGTTTAATGACTTGTCTCTTGCAACTTGTCTCTTGCAAAAGGCATCATTGCATATCATTCTTGTCCTGAAGCACCTCAATAAAACTCATGGTAGAAAGAAAGCATCAGCATATCTTAAATGTAGCTAGAGCTCTCTTATTTCAATCGAATGTTCCACTTGAATTTTGGGATGATTGTGTGTTAACAGCTATCTTTTTAATCAATAGGCTTCCCACTCTACTTTTAGAAAAAAAGTCTCCTTATGAGAAACTTACTAACAAAATCTCAGATTATCATTCTTTGAAAATTTTTGGATGTTTATGTTATTGTTCAGCATCTCCCAAAGGTAGACATAAGTTTGAATGAAGATCTAGAGCTTGCATTTTCTTAGGTTATCCTATGGGGTATAAGCTGCTAGATATAGAGACACACGCCGTTTCTGTCTCACGGCATGTCCTTTTTCATGACGATATTTTGTTTTTGGCATCATCTAACATCAAATACATGACCAAAGATTTCTTTCTTCATATTCCCTCACCAGCAATCCCTGATGTAGAACCCTCTGGTACCACATCGTCTGATGTACATCCTCATACTGATGTATCATCCTCTGAGACTTTGATTCCTTTCGAATTTAAGTCCCACATACAAAATAAATCTCCTAAAGACCTGCAGGATTTTCATTGTTATATTACTACATCCACTATTCCATTTCCAGTGTCCAACTAGATTTCTTATTCAATATTATATGAGCCTTTCTGTGCCTTTATGAATACGATCATCAAAGACTTTTTACCACAAACATATTCAGAAGAAAAAGATCATAAGGTATGGGTTGACTCGATGGGCTTGGAAATTGGAGCTATGACGAGAACACATACATGTAGTATCACAACTCTACCTCCTGGTAAGAAAGCTATTGGTTGCAAATGGATAATACAATCATATACAATGCTGATGGCACTGTGGAGAGACCTAAACGATAGTTAATGGCAAAGTGATAGACACAACAAGAAGGGTTAGACTATGACGAAACCTTCTCCCCTGTTTCCAAACATACCTTTGTTCGTATGCTTCTTCTTTTAGCAGCAAATATGAACTTGTATGTGCATCAGTTAGATATTTCTAATGCTTTCTTGAAGGTAGATCTCATTGAGGAGATATAAATGAAGATCCCACCAGGATATTCTGAGATCACTGGTGAAGCTCTTCCTGAAAATGTAGTTTGCAAGCTTCACAAGTCGATATATGGGTTGAAGCAAGCTTCACGACAGTGGTTTCTCAAGCTTTCTACTAGGTTGGCTGGTATGGGATTCTCACGATATCATATTCAGATCACACGGTAGTCATAAGATACCTTAAGGGTGTTATTTTGGGATTTCTTGTTTATGTGGATGATATACTCGGTGAGTAATAATGATGATAATGATTAAGAAGTTCATTGAAGGGTTGCAAGTTCATTTCAAACTTTGGGATCTTCGCACAGCTAAGTATTTTCTTGACTTGGAGATTGCAAGATCATCAAAAGGGATATTCGTTTGTCAAAGGAAGTATATCTTAGAATTGCTTTCTACGACATGGTTTTTTGGATGTAAGCATCTATAATTCCAATGGATCCAAGTATCAAGTTTTCTATTGAGGAAGGTGTTCCATTATCAGACTCTTCCTCTTACAGGAAGTTGATTGGGAACTTGATGTATCTTCACACAACACGTCCTGACATTTCTTACGCTGTCAACACCTTGTGCCATTTCTCTCATGCATCTACAGATATACATCTCAACGCTGCACATAAGGTTTTGCGTTATCTGAAGGTCACCATTGGCCAAGGATTCTTTTACCCTTCTGATAACAAGTTTGATATTCGGGGTTTCTCGGATTCTGATTGGGCGGCTTGTAAGGACATCAGAAGATCAATCAGCGGAATTTTTATATTTGTTGGTGCTTCCTTAGTCTCTTGGCATTCTAAAAAAACAAGACACTGCCTCGTGTAGTGCAGCGGAAGCAGAGTTTTAGGCTATGGCACTAGCCACCAAGGAGATGATTTGGTTAGCTCGGTTGCTACTTGAGTTTCGGGTTCCATTTCAACCTCCAACTTATTTTTACTGTGATAACACCTCAGCTATATACTTTGCTAACAACTATATTTTCCATGAAAGAACTAAGTGGGTGGAGCTAGATTTTTATAAGACCCGTGAAGCTATTTAATGTGGTTTTCTTAAGTCTATGTATGTGAAGACTTGAAACCAATTGGCTGCACTGACGAAAGCATAACATCCTGCACCTCTCCGAGACCTTATTGGCAAGATGGAAATGAACAACATCTTCATATCTCCATGTTGAGAGGCGATTTTAGTCTACTTAGATTCATACTTGTAGATAATAGTATAAGGGTTCGGTAGTGTCCGTTTTATTCTTTAATTATGATGTAAACTATATTGGTTATTTCTAGTTTAGATGGGGTTTGTTACATATACATTGTAACTGGCACATGTGATCATTAATGAGAGAATCTGAGTTTACATTAAAAGACTAAAATCAGTATATGAAAGAATGAGGGGGAGAGAGCTCTATTCATATATGGCATGGTAAGGAAGACAAAAGTATATCTGTTTCAACTTCATAAATGCATCTTGAAGATGTTACATTGGACCATGATATATCTTAAAATAGATATAATTGTTCGGGGAAGATCACAAATTATATCAGTCTGAACACTAATTTTTTTTTTTTTTTTTTTGTATTTTGTAACGTACAGTTTTAGTTTGTTAATAACTAGAATTATTTCAAAAAAAAAGTTGAATCATTTCAGATAATATCATTTATACAACGTGAAATCTGTATGAGCTCATATATAATAAAACGAAATGTAAGGAATTGTATAATATTTTTTAAAATGATTGATATGTACTTCAAATATTGAATAGAGAATTGTTGAATAGTATACTATTTTCATGTTTTTAAATGTGAAAATTTGAATTTTTTTTGGGGGGCGTTAGAGCTCCTCTAACGAACAAATGTAGAGAAATTAATATGTAACCAAGCAATAATCATAAAAATAGTAAAAAAGTAGAAGAAAGAAATGATAGATGTTTTCTGAACCCAACCTTTTAAAACATTTCTAGTGAGGGGTTTTAGTTTCGGAGTTCTCAAAATACATATATGTGTAAATATATATATATAGAACTCTAAGAGGAGAAACTTCCATTGGGCATGCTCTTAGAACCGATAAAAAATATTTGGTGGCACATACTTTTCATTCATTTGTCAATAATTATGCAAAACAATTAAATTTAAATTTACAAAAAATATATTAAAATATTAAATTTTTATGGTTAACAATCTCAAATCACTCTTAGAAACTTAGTTTGGTGAATGTATTTTTTAACCATTGTATTATTATTCTATTTAACTCAAGTGTTCTCTTCGTTAGATTATTCAACTATCAAATTATTCCACTACTCAAATGACATATCTGATCTGGTTCTATATTTGAATCGAGTAGGAGGTCATGATCAAGAGAGAATGATAAATGTTGGTTGGCAAACACATCATTTTGTATTTGTAGAACGATAACTGTTATTTAAAAGCTACAAAAGCAACTTAGTAGTCATACAAAATGACTGCAAACTAGATTGGATCCCCAAAATATACCTTATTAAAACAAATATCCTCACAACGAAATCTAGTTTATACTAGACATTGACAGAAGCAGAATATAAAACCTCAACCACACTAGAGGGACTATGGTCAATTGTGGCAACAAGTTGTGACCACTCAATCCTTCCCAAAATCTCACATTCTTCTTCATCTCTTTTGAACGAAATCTCAGCACACCACATATCTGCATTTTCATCATTATTGTAGTCAAACCAGAGTACCATAATGTTCACACCAAATTTTCTCAGTTTGCAACAATACTTCAACAGATCAGGCTTCAGTGACGACTTCTTTCGTTTAAAGATGTCCCGTAGAGCCTCCAAACCCTTCACACTTTTCCACTTATAATTCTCTGATCACTCACACCAAAACACATCCCCGTAATCATCACAACCATATAACAATTTCTCCATCACACAGCAATGATTCTGGAATCGTAGACGCCAAACATCGTTTTCCGTTAATTCCCATTTAGCTTCATGGGGCGAGTAATAAACGCCTCTTGCCCTATGTAATGCGTAAACTTTATCCTCGATCACCAGGCTTTCGTCATAGACATGGTTGTAATCGAATAATTTCTTAGTGTTATGATCCGTTATTGGCACCAACGTCTCCCATGTTTGAGTCTTTGGATCAAATACCTCTCCATAGCACAAGGAAAGATCAATAGTTCTGCAACCTCCTATCACGTAAATCTTCCCGTCTACTACACCAGCAGCCGAAAATGATCGAGGCACACTCATGGAAGGGACGCAGTGCCATGTGTGTGACCGACAATCCAATAGAAAGACATCAGAAGAAGAGTGTTTCGTACCTGACAACCCACCGATCACATAGATCTTCCCATCTAGCACCACAACAGAAGATCCTCTCGGAAGCTGAGGAAGTAACGTAGGTATTGGGATCATGAACCGTTTTTCACGGTGGAAGATGAGCCAGACTGGGCTTGATTCATAACCGCCGCTGCTTAAGCATATGTAGAAGCAATCCTCAGTAAAACCTAATATGGATCGCTTCTTATACAAGGCAGGTAAACACACGAGAGAGCGGTATTTCTTGGAGACGAGAGATAAGGCTATGTAGTCAGATCTGGGGACTCGAGCCAGGCAACTCAGAGCTACCTCATCTGGTAATAAAGATAACGGAAACGACAGAGGCAGGGACGTCTTAGTTTCTTTATGTTGCGGTGGCCCTTCGGCTGAGGAATCCAACATCGTCCCGTCTTATTATCTTTTTGTTATCAAAGTCTACAAATATAGCTCTAACTGGTGATTATTAAAAATAGGAATATGAATGAGTAGGAAAATAATAAGTAGGAACAAAATAAAATGAATGAAAAGGAATATTTATTACTTTGGTTCCATATCAATTTTGATAAGGAATATTTTTGTTTTATAATTCCTTAGAATTCAAGAAATGACAAGGAATCATACGCAGTAAATAATCCTTATGAATGGTGTTTTTTTAAAGAATAAGTAGGAATTGGTTATTCCCCTACGTTCCTTATGTTACCATTTAGACCCATAGAGAAAGAGAAGAGGCATCACTCCTTTTAATTTGAGAACTATGTTTGGACCCGTGCGGGGTGAGATCATTTTGCAAATGTATAAATTTAATTATTTACAAAACCTATTTACAATTGTTTTTTATACACACATGAAATATACGAATATAAAATGTTGGGTCAGTTTGTGTTCGGTTTAATGGACCTGAATAGAATTAATTACATAAAGTATTGGGCCTAAACATAAGTTTTGATGGTAGGCTTCAGTTATTACATAATTTATTAGATCAAGATTGAGATTACGATGATGGGTTTCAGGTTTTGACACTATGATTTTTTCATTATATTGCTTCTTTGCGTTAGGGAGTGTTCTGATTTCACTATCAGTTGGGAACCAGTGGCGGACGTAGGTGAAGACATACGGGGTCAAAGCATCTTTAACGCAGATGCTTAGAGAGCTGTTTAGGTGATTTTTGGATTAAAAAAAAAGAAAAATGTACTACTCTAAGCCACCATGCTTAATTAAGCACAAGAAGCATCGGTGCTTGGTGCACACGTGTCAATAGACGCGTCTATCTCAGAAACAAGGAGTCTTCTTCTCTCTTTCTCTCCCTCGACATCTTCTCTCTTTCTCTCCCTCGATGACTCCGATTGAAACCTTGACGGCTCTGCGACTCCTCGTGATTCAATTGACTCCAGATCTCTCTTTCTCTTCCTCGACGAATCCCCGTTTCCGGAGAAAACTCAAAAAATGGTACAGATGCAGAGACATGAGCAGAGAAGGGTGTGGTTTGTTACAGTAAAACGTAACGGGAAGAAGATGATGAATAGTAACTCGATATATTTGGATTAAATGTTCATGAAACAACAATCCACTTCTCACTTGCCAAGAGATACATGTAGAAACACTCTAGAGCAAAGATAAGGAATCAATGGTGATTTTCTAGGAAAATCACCGAGAAAAGACGCAGAAAAGATAGGAAAAGGATAACAAACTTTCTTGATAATTTTCGATCCTTGTAACTTCTGTTTTCTCAAGCTATATAGTTGCATACTCTTGATGACGTGGCAGAGATGACGTGGCTCTGCTAGTACCATCTCTTTTCCTATAGCATGGTTAGGGATACAAAACGCAATAAAGCTAACAGTCTCATTCGCCCTCCTAGATTACACATGGATCTTGTCGTTTGTCCGCAAGGATCTCGTCGTTTGTCCGAGAGGACTTGCTAACAGTCTCATTCGTCCTCCCAGATTACACATGAAGTATAAAACGCAATAAAGCTTCGTCCTTTATCTTCTCAAACTCACTTGTGATTATAACCAAACATCTAATTAACTCTGTTTTTGATTTTGTAGTCAAGCTGCTGCTGATTTGTGTGACTCTAAAGCTGGTGCTGAGCTCTTAGACATCATTCGTATAAAGGTATGGTGAAAATTCCTGCAAGGATAGATATGGTGATAGATGATACACAGTGGGAACAAGTGTGTAGAAGATTTAATGGCAGTGGTCTTTTATGTCTCTTTTTTTTAATGCTTAGTATTGAATGGTTCATGAGAATCCAATTGATGTTAGTTTAGTGAACAAATTTGTATGTGAATTCACAAGCATTATGCTTTGGTGGCTTCATTAAGTTTAAGTGATTGGAAAGTAACAATGTTCTCATTTGTTTGAATGGTCCAGCAAGCTCCGAGACTGTGTCTTAAAGATTCAGCTGTTAATTATTTCTTGTGTATATTGTTTTTTACCAAAGTGTGGGGATTTTGATGAGATCAACTTCATCATGTTCTGTTCTTGTTTCTTAGTTCTTAGTCACTGTCTTTGCAGAGCTAGTCTAGTGGTAAACCGTGTTCCATTGTTCTGTTTTCTTAGAATATGAAAGACTCATCTAGTGGTGAATCCATTGCTCTGTTTCTAGAATCTGAAAGCCTTCAGCTTACTCTGATAAATTGTTATAACTTTCCGATTTTGTTTACATGTTCTGAAATTAGTTTCAATGCAGGGAGCCAGAAAATCTTTGGGATTGGAAGAAGCGAGGAGGGAATGGTTGTTGTGTGGAAGAGAAGATGAACACATCTTTTATAGGAGATGGCCACGATTTGTGCTGACCGAAAACATTATGTTAGTAAGTAACATTTGTAATACAGTTTGATTAATGCTAATAGAACATGTTTTTGATTAGTTGTAGTGACATGTGTTGATGTCAATATTTTTTTTAAACGTCTCTAAATAAGATACTTGCATTGGAAGAGATTAATTAAAAGTTGCTTAAGAAAGTGCTTAACATCTATTTATTGTTAAAAAAATGATTAAGCACCTCATCAAGGGTGCTTTGGTTGATGGTGCTCTCACGTGCCCCCGTCTCTTTTTTATTTTCCTTTCCTAAACTATATAATTATTGCAATGCTCCTCTAATCCTATAGCTAAACATAATCAAATAAAACTGTGTGCCCCCGTCACAGTGGACTAGGTCCTCCACTGTTGCGAACTCTGATAACTTCGTGGGGTATAGAAATGGGCATTTTATCCAATAACCGAATTGGTACCCGAATCCGATCCAAAATAGCAAAACCAAAATAGTAAAATATACGAAAGAGAGGTTGGATATCCAAACCCCAATGGATATCCGAAGATAACTGAATATATGTATAAATACATATTTTATTCCTAGTTTGTTTTTCTCATTTTATTCAAAATATCTATATTAATGTTGTATATAACTTAATATCATATTATATATATATATAACTGTAAAAAATGAATTACTAATTTAAAATTCATGTTAAACTTTTTATTTCATGTGCTAACAAAAATTGCATCCAAAACTTATAATAACAACCAGATTAATGATTTACTATTTTCAAACTTATTAAGTCGTCTAACCTATTAAACATTTAAAATTAGTTAAGTTAATACTAAAATTTTAAATACATGAAACTTGAGTTTATTTTTTTCTTTCAAAATCTTAATATCCAAAATCCAACCTGAAATAACTGAACACAAACTAAAAATATATGAACCCGGCCCGATATGTAAAAATATCCGAACAGGTACTAGACCCTACTACCAAAATACTCGAAAACCCGAAATACCCGATTCGAACCCAAATGGTACCCGAGCTCCCATCCCTACTAGGGTATATATAATCCTACTTTTGTGGATTTTGAGTGAAAGAATGTATTTTAATTAATTAGTAGTAGATCGACTATAATATAACGCCAAACATATAGTTTCTAGATTTTAAAACATAATTATTGGTTATGAAATGGAAAATATATACTAATTAGCATCCACGGTAATTGGAGTATATATTCGGGTAAAATTCTCAGATTTCCAATTTTACCCTTACATTTTTCCTCTTCAATTTAAAATTTGAATTTCGAATTTTAGGTATCAAATTCAAATTTGAATTTAGAATTTTAGTAAAACTAGAAACTAAGTTAAACTAAATTACACCATTGTCGAAATACAACTTGGTATAATTATGTCTTAGTCTTACCAAATTATACATTTGTCAAAGGTACAACTTGGTAAAACTAGAACATAGTAACACCAATTTATACAGTTTTACCAAGTTGTACATTTGTCAAAAGTACAACTTGGTAAAACTAGAACCTAGTTACACCAAGTTATACATTTTAACCAAGTTGTACATTTGTCAAAGATACAACTTGGTAAAACTAGAACCTAGTTACACCAAGTTATACAGTTTTACCAAGTTACACGAAAGTGAAACTACAAATCCAAAAAAAACTTGGTAAAACTAAACCTAGTTACACCAGGTTACACGAAAGTGTACCTTGGTAAAACTGTTTTTCTGGGTTTGTAGTTTCACTTTCGTGTTTTAGATTAAAAAAATGAAAATAAATAAAGTAGATGGAGGAAGAGACGGATCTAGGAAAATCGGAGATGAAACTTACAAAAACGGAGACGGACCTAACAAGGAAAAGGACGTAAAAGAAGAGAAAACAGAAGAAACGAAAGAGAAGAAGGAGGAGGGGGAGGTGGAGGTGGAGGTGGAGGTGGAAGAAGAAGATGAAGCAGAGGACAAGGAGGAGGACGATGACACGGAGGAAGAAAAGAAAGGGAATAAAATTTACCAGAATTCTTTAACTAAAAAATATAACGAGAAGAAGAACAAGAAGAATGAGAGAAACGTAGAAAATGGAAAGTGTTTTGAAGAAGACAAGAATGGAAGAAAACGTTAGATCTGTAGAGATAAAAAAAGAAAATTAGGTTTAGTGACATGATCTGTAAATAAGTAGATTCATTAAGGGCTTATTGGGTTTTTAGTCAATTTTCGAATTAAAAATAAATGAAAAAGAAAAATAGAAAAAGAGAGGAGTATATGAGAATAAAATTTTTGGTCAAAGAGTATATCAGCCATCGACTCTATATATTCCAATGTCATTGTTCCATGAGAAGATATATTAGTTATACTTGTTGACCATGAATAAAGTTTTTTCGTAGGTCAATGACATATTCTAACGATTCTTTGTAAATCTGGAAAATGTAATTAAGCCGTTATTTAGAACATGGAGTATCTAAGAATTAAAGAAAAATGAAAAAAAAAAGAAATTAAAGAAAGAGAATGAATCGGTTCTGATGTACTAGTTGAGGACCAGTTGTAAACTGCCACCTCCACATGTCTTCTTTTAAACAGATCTAGTTCCACATGTCTCTATCTAAATAATTCAATTCTTTTATTTAAA